AGGTGGAAGTGGAGCTGGAGGGGCAGAAGGGGAAGAGAGCTCCGGGGAGAGTTCAGAGGAAGAGGCTAAAGAAGAAGGTGGCGGTTTCCCGACAGCGGCAGTAGCAGGTGGTGTAGCTGGAGGGATCCTCGCAATCGCAGCAGGAGCTGGCGCTTTCTACGGCTTGTGAGTCGTTTGTTGCGTTCGTTGCATCATTTTGCATGCTCATGCGTGTAGTGCTCGTAGTGCTGTTTCGTTCTGCGTTTTGTTTGCTTTCTGACCATATTCTCTGCTGACGACGGATAATTGTCTGAATGCTGCTGTTTTTTGTAGGAGCGGTGGAGCTGCGAGTGCCGCTGGTGGAGCTGCTGCAGAGGTCATGGCAGACGCTGGCGCAACTAACCCTCCTGAAGTTGAAAGAGAGTCCCTTATTAGTGCAGGCGAGCAGACAGAGATGTGGGCTTCGTAACGGACGACCACAAGGGAATGCGTTTCAACAGGGGGGGACGTATTCTTCGCTGAAGCATCTGCCAGGCTTAGTAGCCGTCCGTGGGTGCGGCAAACACAATGCGGCACGCCCAGCTCAGCCCAGGTTGCCCTGTGTGAGGCTAGGTAGCGGTGGAGGAGCAACTCTATAAACTGCGGTGCATTAGGAAGAGGGCCACTCCACGTGTTTGTGGTGCGCTGTTTTCTGCACATCAAACCCAGATTAATTCCCTTTCCTCATCGGCCGAGAGATGAGGAAAGGGAATTAATCTGGGTTTGATGTGCCTCCCGCGGGAGTCAGCAGAAGATGGACCTGGGCGGAGTCGCGGGCTTCCTGATAGCGTACGCACAGGCTCCTGTTCGGGCTAGAATGCGACTCGTCTCTCACCGCACCATGCTGCACAGTTCAAATGATGGGAATTGCCGGGCAGTACTGCTTAACGTGCACGTCGTTGGGGTAACGCGCAAGCATCACACTTGCTAGCCTGTAGAAAGTTGATATTGGATGTTAAGCACGGTTGACGGTCTGAAAACAGCACTTCCCCGACGTAACTGGCCTCGTGCGAGGCT